AGATTTTACTTTTTAAAAATGTAGGCACGCTTTGTGGGATGGGGGGTTGCAACCCTCCCGTTTTTTTATTGCAATAATGCGTTTTCTATTTAAAAAGGTGTATAATTTATGAGCTGACGCCCACTTTGAGCATTTCTATTCTCTGCTGAACATTTTGGTCACTCAGTTACTTAACCCCCCCTCCCCACCCCTATTCACTTTTTAAAAACGATGCCAGGTCCCGGATAATTTTTTTAATGAATAATGTTTCAATAAAACCTCAAACAATATTCATTTTAAAAATATATTTTAGATAATGAGAAATATTCGGTAACTATGCCATCAAACAAGTCAATGCTTCTTTAATTTTTCCCTTTAATATGATATTAATAAAGCATAAAAATTTGAATTTGTAAAATATTCGAGTATTATACTTAAAGTATTCTGTTCATAAGACTGTTCACTCATTGTCGAGAGGTGATCATGAGAAGTGTAGATGGGTCAACGTTTTTTTCTTAATGGCTTGCAAAAGCTTAAAAGTTTTAAATCGAATTCTTGTGAACCATATTGCAGGCAAAAAATCTAGTAATTTTTATAAATTTCTAAAATATTTCCATTGAAATTGAGAATGCGTGTGTTATAATGCAAATGGTGTATATACATAATTATGTACTAATTCAACATGGCCTATGTAAATTATCATAAGGATATCAATGTAAAACCGTGTGTCCAAAATGTAATACATGTATCATAAATGCAGGTACATGTATCACCTAGATTGCCAATATATGTCTAATTCATATTGAATAAATTGATTGAAATTTTATAAAGAATTAAATACCGGTATATGGTATGGGCCATTTTAGGCACATATTCAGAAAATGTTTTACATGTGTAAATTTCTTTCTTGTTCAAGGCTCGCACGTATATAAAATCGTCGCTTATATATATACATACTGCGTTAAAAATGTCATTTTTTGAAGTTTTGTTTAAAACTAAGGTATTTAAAACCCTAATTCTCTGCATATTACTTAAATCAATATAAAGATAAAATCAATATATAAATTTTATTCTTTCACAAAACATAAATTTCATTGAGGTTTATTTACGTCTAAATTTTAACAAAAAACGGGAGCCAAAGAAAACCATAATATAGGTTTGATCATTTTTTAAAATCATTCTCTTATCCATGTTTTAATAATTCTTTTTATGATAATGATGATTTCATAACTGATAAATTTTTAACAGTACGTCTGTAAGTCGGGGGCTCTGTTACTTGTTCAGATACTGGTTGCCCCCCCCCCCCTCCCCCTGCCCCAGACTTTCAAAACTTTTGTTACGAGCCTGTTCCAGCTTAGCCATATATGACATTTACTCATATATATGAAAATTACTTTTTATTTCAAAATTTAGTAAGTACATGTATGTGTAATCATGTATGTACATCATTTGGTTTTAAGGTAGATATCTAATATAACACTTGTAAATGTAGAGGGGGGGAGGCTCTGTCCAAAATTATAATAAAAGATTTACTCAATCAGTTTTTTAGTGTGGCTGTGGGCGCCTAACCCGACCCCAATTTGCCCCTTTTTTCAAGATATCTGAATCCGCTACTATGTTAATGCTTTGAACTTGAAAATACAGATGGGTTTGCGTAATAGATCTGTTTGAAAGACGGTAAAAAGGGAAAACATGCAAGTGTGCTCGTGCTTCTTGTGCTTTACATCCTTTATTTAGGTTCAAGTGTGATATTATTTTGATCCGCCACATGTCATTGTAGTCTCTAAACCAAACAAGAAAACATTGATGTAACCATCAATTGTCGCCCGGGAAATATATAAAGTAAACAATGGAAATGAGTCTTGATCATCAATTCGCTTCGATATGTGTGAAAAGACATGCGTCTAATTGATGAAAACGATAGTCGCCAATATTTTGAAAACTTATTTTCGGATAAATATCAAACAAAAACGATACCATTTTAAACTTCAATTCCTCGAGTAAATGTTGGCTGCATAAAATATAAAATGAAGTTAGACTCATGCATCACCTATATTCAAAAATGTATTTAATTTTCAATTTTGTAATATAAAACACGAACTCTACATCTATAGTACGTTTTTATGCGAGAAGTAAAATTCTCTATTCTAAAAAAAGGGACCTGTCGTTTTTACGATAGTTAATGATAAGCAACTTTATATATTAAATATGAAAAACATATTTATTTTTAAAGATTCACTTTATGAAAGTAAATATATTATGTATCTCGTAATTTATAAAGGGAAAGAACACTCTGATTAACAATCTTTTCAATGCTTAGAAAACCCTTAATTCTGAATAACTACTCCCACCTCAATCTCCATACACCAACACTTAAACTTATATGTATAGAGCAGCCCGGTCCTCCGGGCTGCAATAAAATGCGATCTGCGCATGCTTAGTACCTAGCGGAGAGGTCATAGTCCCCCAGTCTTACGCCGCTTTCTGAAACGCGATTTAGGCCCGTCTAAATTTTGGCGTAAATTTTTTAGTCGGACTAACTTAGGCCCAAATCTACGACTTTTTGAGAAACGAGCCCCTGATGAGATAATTATGTATTCGTATTCAAAAGTATCTGTCTGTAAATTATTTTCCTCCAACAGGTTTAAAACTGCCCGTGGAAGCTATTGTCAGTGGCATTTTTTAGGTCTCTGTTATAGCATCATTCTTAACAGTCTAAGCATTATTCTTCAGAAAAGGGTCGCTTATGCATCAGATGTAATGAATAAAACTACGGGAGAAGTTAAGTCCATTTGAGGAAGAAATAAACAATAGCCTGAAGAAATAAAAAAAAATCAACTATTAAAAAGCAAGTACAGGTGACTCTCGATGGCTCGAACTCCGATATCTCGAAGTTCTCTATCTCTCGAAGTGAACCTCTGGTACTGTTTATTTCCTCTATATAACTAAGGAAATTTACTCCTGATCTCTCGAAGTTCTTTATCTCTCGAACCAAGACCTGGGTCCTGTTAAATTAATGCAGCTTGGACTTACCTGAATAACAGTGAATGCCTGACTCTGGCATAGAGGTGTTTATTGGGTGTTTACATAGATGACACAACATCTGTGGGTAGTCCATGTGTAGATATAATTAATTGGTTAAAATTGGTAAATTATGATTGAATCGCTTCACAACTTATTTTGAAATCAGGACAATAAATTTTAGAAAATAATTTGAAAACGTATGTTTCAATAAGTTCTCCTAGACAATTAACTTTTTTTACAGTCTATATAATCCCAGTATGTCAAACATTAGACAGGAAATATTGTTTTAAGGATTGAATACTGATTGCAAGAAATCTGGTAACCCAATCAAGCCGCGGAATAGCCAAACCGACAATTGCTATTTAGTTTTCATGTAATCATGATATTAGAACAAATAAATATTGAACCTGTAGGAAATATCTATTTATTCAAAATACGATCATTATTGTTGATTTCAAGTAAATTACCTGTAAAATACAATTAAAAACGTGCAATGACTTTATTAACATGTACTTCCGGTATTTATAATAGTAGAATATCGATGATCGGAACTGAAAATTCCGGATTTTATGTACTTCCTATCTCTCGAACCCCGAGATCTCTCAAACTTTTCTAGTGGTCCCTTGAACTTCAAGAGATCGAGAGTCACCTGTATATACAAATATATATACAGGCATGTAGTATCGTTTGTGGCAGCCAGAAAAATATTTTACACTTAATTGAAAAAATGTTCACCCTAATCCCAAATACTCCCTGTCTGTTTTATGATAGGAATTAAAATTTTAGGTATCAAGAATATTTTAGACCAATGTCTACAATTCACCTAACACATTTTTAAAAAATGAAGATATATTGAAAGAGTTTTAAAGAATTGATTTTTTAAAATATATTTTGATCAACATCACAAAATTTATATCACTGGCCCAAACTGGCAGATGATGATATAAACAATTAAATATTCTACTTTCCTATTTATAACCATTATGTGTCCAGTGGCAAGGATCCTGTTAGGATAGCATAAGAAAGAAGCAAAAATGAATGTACAAATGTCAATAATTAATCTATCCCATCCATTTTTTTTATTTCCACCTCCTACAGGACTTTTTCATTCTGATGTTCATAACTAAACCTAGAAATAAAACAAAATGCTGACCTTATGATGAAGATAGGTGCCTCTTTCAAAATGAATAATTTCAGGGTCCTTGGGTCAGGGGTATGGGGGGGGGGGTACTCTGTCTAAAAATAAATTAAAAAAATGCTTTGTAATCTGCTCTTTGATAAGCAATGGTGGCTCTTTCAAAATTGTGAATTTCATGGCTTTTGGATTTAAACACAAACCAAATTCAATTGCTGGAAAGTTGTTACATGACTCTCGGGTGACCTATAAGGCCCGTGGGCCTCTTGTTAAGTATTGTAATTGATCGCTCAAAGTTATGATGCACATATGTTCTCTGAGTTGATAACAAGTTTCAAAATGTTTGCTGATCAGTTACTGAGAAAATGAAGTTCAAGATTTCACTTTCACGTGGTATCCATGGCAACAATGGATTATTTGAAAATTTTAAATGTGACTCTCACAACTACAATTACTAATCATTAATATAACAAAGTTTCATGATGAATGTTCAAATAACCAGAGAGAACACTGCTGGAAAAAAGTTGTCACTATTCACATGTCTCCATGGCAGTGGTAGCCATTTTGAAACTGAATGACTACACAACAAATCTACAACCAGTGATCATCTTTTGTTGAAAGTTTCAGGAAGATTGTCCAAGACATCTGCAAGAACCAGACCGGAAAAAATTCTCATGCGTACAATCGCAATATGTCGCTTGACTTCGTCCGGGCTGACTTAATAATAAGAAACAGAGTTAAAACAATATGTTCCCCAACTTTGTTTAGGAAACATAATTTTGTATGGATCGAATTTGCAAAAAGATGACAATTTTTACTAAGGGATTATATGACTGATATTATAAGTATTTTGTTTCTTCAGTGGATTGCAGTCCAGGATCATACATTAGTGGTAATTATTGTCTCCCTTGTGACTTTGCAACCTACCAGCCAGACCGCCACCAAATTTCTTGTGAAGAATGTGGACAAGACCTTAATACTAGCTCAACAGGAGCAACTAGTGAAAAGGATTGCCAAAGTATGTGAAAGCAAATCAAAATATTCTATATATTATTCTATTCATTGAGAAAACATTAAAGTTCAAGTTTTCCAATGTGACAAAAGGATGCTCCCCTCACAACATGATGCATTTAGTAGAATTTCATCATTAAACACTTATTTTCAATACAATAAAGTTTGATAGAAGAAAAGAAATCCCGAATAGTTGATGTTTTGTTTTAACAAAGTGTAACTCAGTTGACATGCAACTTGAAAATTTAAAGTGTTTTGAGAATGCCAGATCTGATTAGTTAATGATCAAATGTAAATTTAACAAAAAATGGATTTTGATTTGTACCGTGTACATCAAACCAACAGAAAAAATACTTTGATGAACTGATACCATGTGAACCATTTCACTAGCTTCTATAATACAATGCTGTATTTCATACAATATATAACATTTTGTTCATGACAGTTTTCTGTCCTGCTGGGGAAGAGGGACAAGAAGCATGTAAGCCATGCGAGAATGGGTATGTCAAAGAATTACCAGGAATCACCCCATGTAGAAAATGTACTGGCAATTATACATCCAATGACCAACGCACTGACTGTGACAAATGTAAGTGGGATTATTTTCCTAGAAAATTTATTGTAAGATGTTTATTATACCAGCATTTCAAGACATATTTTAAAAATAAGGATAAATAAATAGTCCCTTGTACAAATGTATATTCTTTTTTAAAAGAAATGCAACATTTTAAATCTATCTGTATGTACTTCCAAAATCTCAGTTTTTTCCCCCTGAAAGTTATCTAGTTTTCTTTTTAACCCTTCTTACATTATAGGTGTTACATGTAGTATGAAAACATTGCATTAAATTTTTTTTATTGTTTATAATTTTAATATTTGTTTATAATTTTAAAATATTAATTGAATTTTCAGTGTTCTGTGACATGGGGTTCTCCTTTGATCAAAACAGCTGTATTCCATGCAGTGTTGGATATTACAAGGCAGACAGAGGAAACACGAACTGCACCAAATGTCCTGATGGATTTCTTACAACCATTGAGGCTTCAGTTAGTGCAGATGACTGCAGTGATCGTATGTCTAGTTTATAAATCACTCTGATGATATATATATATATATATATATATATATATATATATATATATATATATATATATATATATATATATATATATATATATATATATATATATATATATATATATATATATATATATATATATATATATATATATATATATATATATATATATATATATATATATATATATATATATATATATATATATATATATATATATATATATATATATATATATATATATATATATATATATATATATATATATATATATATATATATATATATATATATATATATATATATATATATATATATATATATATATATATATATATATATATATATATATATATATAGTATAATTTGTCTAATCTGGACCCCACTGGTTCCAAAGAAATTGGCCGGTTTAGACAATATTCTGGATCAGACAACATTTAAAACCATTGAATTTACCACAAGGGTTTTAAAGTTGCACTGTATTAGACAATATTTAAGATTACACAACATCCGGATGAGACAAGTTTCACTGTACATATATTACTTGTAATCTCTTCATCATCATTTAGATAATGGACTATATGCTCAATATTTTTTAATGGGTAACAAAAAATAGAGTTCATTAGTAATTGATTATTAATTTTAAAACCAGTGTCAAAAACTAAATTGCTGTTTTTACAATTGTTTACCTAAGGGAAGTAGAAAATGTTATTGAAATCAGGCTTTAATTAAAGCATTACTAGCTATAGACTAAGGCCAGGTATTTATCTAAGATGATAATGATAATGTTCAACCTAGTTGACACCTTTCTGCATATGAAAAGGATATTTTTACAGCATACTGCATCCCTGGGAAATACATAAATTCTACAGGACAATGTGATGATTGTATGATAGGCTACTATAAGACCACTACAGGAAATAACAACTGTACAGCCTGTAGTCGAAATTACACCACTCCCTCTAGAGGATCAACATTAGCATCAAACTGTTCCATAAGTAAGTTTAAAAAGTTTGTTGATACAACATAATATAGTCAAACCTGTCATAGCATTCACCTGTGTATACAGACCTCGGGTCATTCTCCTTCTGAGAATTTTTTCATCACATTTTACCTGCACTCAGTGCAAAGTGTGTGAATGGTAGCAAATAGAACTTTTTTAAATAAAATTTTTTGAAAGTCATTTTAGATAAAATTTGAAAATGGTTTTGACAAGAATTGTATGTTTGCATTTTGTCATAAAAGATGTGTGTGTGTGTGTGAGGGTGTGTGTGTGTGTGGGGGGGGATGTTAGTGTTTTTCTGTGGAATCATCCTTCTTCACGGGCGACCAGTGTTCATGGAATTTGTGGGCCACCATTATTCACAAATTTACATCCCCACAAACAATTATTTTGTCAATATTTATTCATTGAATCTTCTGAAGATACCCACATAATAACGTCCCCATAAACCAAGGAAAATTTTGCTTTGGCCAGAAACATTGAGAACCATGAGTTAAATTGATATATTACAGTGGTTTTCTGTTTCTTGCATAACCTTTTCATCACTCATTTTTATTTTTAACACTGTTGTAAAGGTGTAGGAGTTTTGCTTTTTATATTAAAAAAAAAGTTTTGCTTTTCTTAGAAAAAGATGCACTTATTGATATACATGTAGGTCAAACTTTAGTTTGATATTTGTTTCTGACTAGTTGATAACCAGTTGTTTACTTTTCAAAATTATTACAGACATTCTAAAAAATTTTCAGTGGTTTCTTTTAATAATGTTGCCACAAGTGGGCAGATATCTTTCTTTAGTCAAACTTCGTTTTTGTGTAAAACATTGAATTTTCATGATATTTATACACATGTATCCCACACAACAAGTTGGGGAAGGTAAAATGTTTTTGAACATAAGTCAGTCAACAGTCCGTCAGTTTTTTTGTCAGCGAAACTCCTCATAAACAGCTGCACACAATTTCGTCAAACTTTGCAGATATGTAATGTGTAATTTTTTTTGTACGGCGTAGGAATACTTTATGCCGCAAAGAAACGTATATAAGATGAATATCGATAAAATCCAACTTATATTGTCAAAACAATCAATAAATAAACTTATAAAAACTCATTGAATGTTGTTTAAGTCAACAGATATCGTAAATACGCGTATTCTCCAGAATAATTAGTCCTTGACCATGGCCATGTTGACATTAACGACAACGCTCAGATGAAAAGCGAAAGTTGCAGACCGATGACGTCCTCGATTTGCTCTGGTTCGTTCAATGATTAAGGGAGCACATGAGTTCTGTAGGATATAAATATATGAATTTGATGCTGATAAGGCAACAGTCTGAGGTACGTTTCTTTTCCCTATCACAACGACACTAACTGAGCTGATATGGAACGTCGAGATGACAGCATGATCAGCGATTTTTTAAAATTCACACTCGTGATCCGACAGTGACATAAGCATAATATTCCCGTCTGTCAGTCCTGTTTATCTCCTGTTTTGCTGTTTTTTAATTTCAAGTTTCTTGTAATCATAATTTAGCTAAAACGGACAAGAAGTATCTGTTTTCATTGTTTTTACAACAGCTTAGAAGCTAGGTCAAGAAAGTAGTTCTGACTGAAAAATTCATCGATGTGTAAACTTTTTCTTGAATTTGTTCTCGTCCAATCAAAACACAGGGAATCAATAAATAAAATTAAGATTGGAATTATTCTCAAATTTCAAAGTTTTAAATTTCAAGAGCGCATGTTTATTACTTTTTCTTTAATAACATTTTTATTACCCCTTTCTTTAAGAGCTTCAGTTTATCATAACATTAAAAACACACCGTAACAACGTCAACCTACCTATCAAAATTCAGTTATATAAAATTGTAATTACATTTTCATACCTATAATTTCTTAATTTTGTTTAATTTTAATAATTAAGCGAAAAAAGTTGCTTTAAAACAGTAAATACGCTTCATTTTACTATGATGCGCAAAATATTGCGCAATGGAAACCACACTCGGCGCCCTTAAAACACCCCTATTGATTTTGAGATAAAAAATATTTAAATGATTTGCACACATGCACACACACACACAATCTTGGATAGTTCTCCCCCACCCCAAATTTTAAATGCACTGATTCATTCACGACGTGTTGCATTGACGAGTTTTAGGGGAGTTTGGGATATGTGAGCCTGCTCACTTTTTCTTTCATTTGTAGTTGTATGTGAAGCAGGAGAAAAAAGAATCAGCAGTAATAACACCTGTATAAAGTGTCCTGTTGGATCCTACCAGCCTGACAGAGGACAGAGTGACTGCTTACAGTGTTCAGCAATGCAGACCACAGAACAAGAGGGGACTGTAAATCAGAAAGACTGTGTCCGTATGTACAATTCTGTATAGTTAATCTTCCACAAATTTTGGCTTCTTGTTCAGTTGATTTTCCTCAGAAAAAAAATCAGATTAATAAAGAGTGATACTTAGGTCATAGAAAGACATAGATTAAGTTATCATCCAAGTCTGGTTTTTGTCCTTCCTTAAATAATTTTAACTTATATCTGGAGATTTTGATGGCCAGTCTAAAACGGGGAATATTGTCTTAATTTTTTTCAATTTAAGCAAAAGTTTAGCCCCTTCAGACAATTGTGACATGGACAATTGTCATCTTGAAACATCCATGGGAAACTATAAAAATGTTTTGTGACAATTTTAACTTACCTCAAGTGATTGTCCAAAAGAACATTAAACTTCTCTGTATTTGAATTACCATCAATGGTAGCTGCAGAACTGTAGCTCTTCAAAAAATATATATTGATAGACCGGAGAGCTACAGTGCCACCCATTGAAAAAAACTGTATATTTATTGCGCACAAAAAAGTGCGCTGTTTCTGGATTAATTCTTCCAAATTCTTACCTCAATTGCAAAAAAGCTAGATTTCAATAAAGTCCTTACTCCTCTATCAATTACTTTTGTAGTTTACATCTATACGAAGCACAATGGACCGAATTATCTTGCAAACTAAAATGGCAGTATAAATAGGCGAAATTTTCGATGATCTCAATTTCAGGACCAGGAGGGCTATTGAAAACAATTATAAGGAATGTTTTGTTATGGAAACAGTGAAAAAAATATGTTATGAACACACGGTTAGTAATATTTTGAAATGACAGTTTTAAAAACATGGAGAAATAAATCGAAAAACAGCGCACTTTTTTGTGCGCAATAAATATACAGTTTTTTCAATGGGTGGCACTGTAGCTCTCCGGTCTACCAATATATATTTTTTCGGAGAGCTACAGTTCTGCAGCTACATCAATGGGGGTAATGGTGAAAATGCCAAAATAGGAAATACATCTGAAAAATGAAACAGAAGTACAGATGTCACCATTATGTTTCATCTATTTTCCTCCAAATTTTCACCATCTGATCAGATCCCAAAACAACTTGCATTTCATCGGAAAATATTGCAGTTTTCCGCTCATCAGCTACAGTCCACAGTCCATTGTCTTTGATTTATTAGCTCTACTGGTCATAGACCAGAAGAGCTTATGCGATGGTAAGGTGTCTGGCGTCCGTCCTTCTGTCTAGCTGTCCATCTATCTGTAAACAATTTTTCAAAACGCTACTCCTCCTACAGTTTTGGTCTGATTTCAATATAGCTTGGCACACAAGTAGACTAGACTAAGATACATATAATAGTGCATCGGTTTTTGATTTCGATGAACGATATTGCCATGGTTACTAAAATAGAATTTTTGGAGAAATTACTTTTAAACGCTACTCCTCCTACCGTTTTGGTCTGATTTCAATATAACTTGGCACACAAGTAAACTACACTAAGATACATAAAATAGTGCATCAGTTTTTGATTTGATGAAAATTGTTGCCATGGTTACTAAAAATAGAAATTTTTGTAAAATTCTTTTAAAACGCTACTCCTCCAACAGTTTTGGTCTGATTTCAATATAACTTTGCACACAAGTAGACTACACTAAGATACGTAATGTAATGCATTTATTTTTGATTTCAATGAACTTTGTTGCCATGGTTACTAAAAATGAAAAATTCTGTGAAATTCCTCTAGAATGCTACCCCTCTACAATTTCGGTCTGATTTCAATTTAACTTGGCACACAAGTAGACTACACTAAAATACATAATTTTATTTATTGCTGCCTGTTGCAAAGTTTCAAATCCAAATGCTACTTTTCCTTTGTTACACATACAGACCAGTAGAGCTACAGTCTCATCAGAGACTTCTGGTTTATCAAACAGTTTGCCTCTGTTATTGACAACATAGATTGTTATTTAGATTTTAAATTGTTGAAATTATGACTCCCAGAGATCGGATGGGGCCACAATAGAGAATCCAAGTTTAACATTGAAATATAAAGGAAAAATCTTTAAAAATCTTCTTTTCAAGAACCACTTGACCAGAAAAGCTGAAAGTTATGTGTAAACATCCTTGGGTAGTGAAGATTCTAAATTGTTCCATTCATGGCCCTGAGGATGGGGTGCGATTAGGGGGGCCACAATACGGAATCCAAGTTTTACATAGATATATATATATTGGAAAGATATTTGACTGCCGTCATGAGAAAAGGGCCCTTAAGGTCAAATTTTCATAAATTTACTTTTTGGTAAATTTTGATAGCCGGGCTCTTTCTGGATGCAAATATACATAGATTTTGAAAATATTTCAATTTTTCAGTATTTTATTAGCATTTTAATAAGGCGCGCCAAAACAACTTTTGACGTTACTCACTAAAAACGTACAAGTAATGACGTCGCCTGCGTCTAATTCAATTTCCAAAAATTCTAAAAAAAAAAAAAAAAAAAAAAAAAAATTACGTTTTTTAAATAACCTCAATCGTTTTGAGAATTATAAACTTGAGAAAATATTTGATTTTTTCTTCCAAGCGACTAGTATGTAGCTATTCCTAAGGAATTTCGTATGTTGTTACTATTTTCATACTATTTTAGAGCAGACCTAGTAATTTTGTAAAGGGGATGTGGATCGATCTAGACAAAATCTAGGAACGGTTTATAATTTATTCAGTAGTAAAAATAAATCCATAGAAGTTATTCTTTTTATATAAAATAATCTAACTCAATTTATAAAATGTATAAAGAACTTGTAACACTTAAACCTTAAAAGAAATAGAGAGAGAGAGAATCCCAGAAAGACACCGCACGCAAAAGGGGGTAATGTACATGTATCCCCTCACAGAAAAAAAACACATCGATCCCGATATTAAAAAGATAATAACAATTTTCTTATGAGTCAGCATTCACTCACCAACACGGACGCACGTAACTATTTCCTTTAACTGTTGCGATAGGATAAAAACACCATGTATTTTCTGTATCACCGAAAAATTTAAATGAGAAATAAATTCAGATACGCTGAGATACTTAGTAGTGTGTAAACTTGTTTTTTAAAAACCTTTATTCTGTTTATAAAAATTCATGAATTAAAAAAATACTTTTGCTATTTGCATGCAAGGATTTTTTTTTAAATCTTACCTTTTTGAATATTTTATTAAAAATGTTTAAAGCACTAAGTTTCCATTGTTTATGAAATTCTTTTTCTTCGCCTGTCTTAGTTATGGAGTAGAAACATTATAAAGAGGCAAATAGTGTCAAAGGATTGTCTTAATCAATTTGATTCAGATCCTTTGATCCGCTCACGTAGATCGCTACACAAGGTTGTATAGCGATCTACTTGAGCAAATTATAGAATTTAATAATCAGATTGATTGTCTTATGTATGGTTTATATATACCTTAAATTAAAACTTTCTTTGAACTTATACCTAAAATTGAAACGGTCGTTTAACTTCATACTTTTATTTTTAAGTAATTATGTTCCCCAAACGAAGTTGGGGAAAATATTGTTTTTACTCTCTTTCTTATTATGTCGCCCCGAACGAAGTCGGGCGACATTTTGCGATTGTACGCATGTTTTTGTTATACGGGCTGTTTCTCGGAGATGGCTGGGACAATCCTCTTCAAACTTTCCTCAAAGGAGGATCACTGGTTGTAGTTGTGTTTTGTGGTCATTCAGTTTCAAAATGGCTACCGTTGCCATGGAAACCTGCAAAAAGCGACGAATTTTGTCCACGTGTGTTCTCTCTGGCCCCTTGGATATTCGTCATGAAACTTTACTGTTTAAGTGATAAGTATCTGTAATTTTGCGTGTTGCATTTCAAAATTGGAAATAGTTAATAGTTTCCATGGAAACAGGGGAAAAGTGAAACTTCTTTTGCTTTGATCTTTAAATTAAAGTACTGAAAGTACTGAGAGTACTGAAAGGACTGATACCAGTTGATGGTTTTCCAAGCTTAACTAATAGGTATTGTTTTAGTGATGAAAAAAAATTAAAGTATTGTCCAGTTCGGGGCGACATAAGCTATTGCTTGCAATAGCAGACTTTCTAGTTAAGGTCTTCCGTCTTCAGCGGAAGACTTCTGTTATTCTTCGGTTTCTTTTTCACTTTTCTTCTTACCTATTATTATTCTTTTTTTTTTCTTACCAATTTTGTGCACGCGATTTCTCAAAAACGGCTCGATGGATTTTAATGAAACTTTCAGGACTCATGAAGCATTACTTGATCTTGATTATTTTTTTTCCGTTTTGATGACCTCACTTCCGGTCCGGAAATATTTTAATAGATTATCTATCCTAAAAATTACTGTTAAAACTCAAGTAACAAATTCCGATGTGATCATCTTGAGCAAAGTTTGGCAAGCTGGCTGTCATTTTACAATTCCAAACTGAATTTAAAAAAAAATGTAAGTGTGTTGGAATAAAAAAAAAAGCAATCTCGCGATATTCGAATGTTAAATTTGAAGCGGGTTCCCAAAGGTGTAATGGGTACCGCAATGGATTTTCACGCTAGCGACCCGGGTTCGATCCCCCGTGTGTCCGATTTTTATAATAACTTTTTCAGTTTGATTTTACGTTGTTTTTTTTCTGAATCGGAAGGAAGACCTCTCGTTGCTCGCAACGAGTTTCGTTTCTAGTTATTCTTTTTTTTCTTACCGATTTTGTGCACGCGATTTCTCAAAAACGGCTAAATGGATTTTAATGAAACTTTCAGGACTCATGAAACATTACTTGATCTTGATTCATTTTTTTCCGTTTTGATGACCTCACTTCCGGTCCGGAAATATGGTCGATTTTATGATTTTTGAAGGGTCAGGTTGTCCGCGAACGTTCTAAAAAATGGCTATAGATAGAAACGTGAAAATTTCAGGTCTGATAGTCCTAAGTCTATAGATGTGCAAAATGTATTTCATTTTTATCGGAAGTGCCGCACGTCGGCGCTCGCTATGGCACGAAAATAGTCCTATCGCGAATTTCACAATTTTTAACACCTTTT